TCGCTTTCTAATTACCCAGTTACCAATACGCCGACACCAACCTACACGAGTTATGGTTCTAAGAGAGCGATTAACACACACTTGAATACGTCTCAGTTCCGCCGCTAGAACAGGCTAAGTCTCACAGCCATGCAACAAAACATCTCGCGCTGTAGCTTGATACACACTTCTCCAGAGATTAAGGTGTCCCAAATTGGCAACGGCGACTCGGACCTCGCAGATTCGTGCACTGACTCTATCTGTCACACGACAATCAGAACTGATACATTTTCTAAGATATGAAAAAAGATTCACATGGCCCGGCGTTATGGTAGCTGTCTGTACCATGTATCATAAAATCCTCACGCTATATCCCGTGGCAGCATCTTGTATTTTGACGTTTAGTGACGACATCCCTAGTATTCTCGGCCGCCTTTCATGCCTCTACATGTTCCCCCTTCCTTTTTTGCTAACTGGACAGCGTCTTCCACCATCATTCTGGGAAATTTGTGTGTGGTTGCATTTGAATGCTGTGCAGCTTGGTTTAAACAGCACGTTGGCTTTCCTTACACAGAAGTACAGGCGTACTTGAGCTAATACCCTAGAATTCTTTGGGTAACGCAGCCAAAAGTAAGCATCATGTATGCTCACAGGTTGCGAGGTAGTTGAGCAAAACGATGCGACTGTTGGATAACTCAGCCAACACCGAGTAGCCAGCCACTCTGCTAGAGCACATAGTCTGCACGTGAGTTTCGGTGGCAGTATAGAGGTTTTCTGTTAGGCTGTAACATTTTAACGAAAATGCGACCTTGAAAGCGAAGCCTCGTTCTTCAGGTTTACTACTCTTGATGTGGCTCACAATGTGCACTCTGCAGAAAGATGATCCATCTTCTATCATGGGCTCGAAAAAATGGTACGAACGGATGAAGGTAGATGACGTCAATTTAGGTATCGTTCGTGGCAGAGGCATCCAAAGATCATGCTATTTTCATGCAGGCTTGATTATTTTGACTCCAATAAAATCCCAGTTTTATTTTGCTGCGTCAACAGAGGAGTTTTGTGGGGTCAACGCGCTAGCAAACAGGCTTTTTAATAAGTTATTACGGTTTGCCATCATTCCTTGTTTTAGGTGAACTGTTTTCAGCACCCTTGGAGTGCCACGTTTCGTTCGCGTTGGTCATGCGCTAACAACATAACTATAAATATCCAATAAATCTTCGCCAGTCTTCTTGAGCGCTTATCTGCAAAATGTTCAATAATTCAATATATATTTCTGCATATAATTTGACCTCATACAGTTCATTAGGACGCGTGAAACCCCTCTGTTTATCAAGTTTAATTGGTGTGACAACTGCTATCAAGGCCGGTATATTTTGTCTGCAGAAGTTCATCTGCAAAGCGTGGAGCTAACCTGCGGCGAACACCTGCGCCAGTTTTGCAGCTGTAAACATGTCTCAGTTGATGTTAGTTTTGTTTTTTGTATTGTTCTTAGTCAAGTGACTCTTGTATGAACGACGATCCATCTGTCCTGATGCAATCCTTCTGGTATGTCCAGAATGAAGGCCAACCCCTGGACTCAAAATTTCCTCTCGTTGGAGCTCACCGGTGGTGTGTTGTAGGGTATTAACTCCGCACATTTGCTATACGGAGCAAGCGTGTTACAACTATCTCACTAGCGTACGCTGGATGTATATAATTTGCCACCTCTGAACAGGTGAAAAATTTTGCACTTGATCTCGGCGGATAACTTGACGCATCGGGCGGTGACTCAGCAAAATATCTTGGTAGCTTTGCATAATCGGGACTTCAAGTCACGAAAACTTGATGCTTGCTGAAAAGGTTTTTGAGGTGCTGTTCGTTTCAAGGTTTTGTAGGGAGAACAATTACATGACTCTTGTTTAGAGTCCCCTTGCCCTTGTGCAATCATTCCTGTAGGTTCAAGCCGAAGAGAAGAGCACTCGACTCAATTTTCCCTGTGAATGGTGGTGCGCCACATTTATGTGGGTTATTTAGTCCGTAACTCCCGTTTATTGATATTTTTCCCTTGACATGTGCGAACTGCTTACCGCAAAGTTTGTAAGCGGAACAAATTTACAGATCTGTTACAACTTACAACTTCTGAAAAATGTAACCATTCTTCACGCCGTCGTGTTTCACGAGGAGCAAGTTGGATTTTTATCGATAAAACACAAGCTCGGAGAGCAGTCAGAAGGCTGCATTCAACGGAAAAGAAATGCTCGCTTACCTCACTTTACAACGGGCCAGCGTAATGGAAACATAAAAATGAGATGCCTACAAGCCTACAGTAATAAGCATTACAAAATGTACCGCAGAGGTCAACGGGCTTTCGATTTCCTAAGATTTCGAAATCAGTCTGAAAAAGCCTCAGTAAAACTTTCTCGTGTTGGCTAGACGAAAATGAAACGTTGTTTTAACAGCCGTGTTCTGAACGGTGGTAGCATTTGGGAACCCGACGAATGATCAAATTACGAGTGTCGGCGGCACTCAACCCCGGGAACACTGCCGTAAGGATCGGATAAGCCTTTGCGCGCGAAGAACGTTGTAGTACTTGATGAAATAGGTGCAGCATTTTTCTGACTACAACTAACTGCAACGGTAGAAAGTATTTTTCTAAGTGTGCACTAACTCCTCATATGAACACCCTTGCGGTAGGGCATATTCATGTGAAATTGTCAACCTGGCACGAGAGAGAATGAGCGCGACGTAGTGTGCCGATTTTGTCCCACGTCAACTAACGCGACATGTTGATGCCTGTAGGAGGCAAGAAGCTAAAAATATTTGATCTCATTGTTTTCCTATGAGCAGCTTTTTCAGCATTTCAGAAGTTCAGGAAAGATTTGCCCAGTTCTGGTGATTTTAGTCGCATGATGTGTAAGCGCCGGTTGGAACCAAAAAAATGTCCGGCTACCTGAATTGCACGAGTCATCTAATGAAAGTCACACTCGATGGAGCCTTGGATGAAAATTAATAAACCGTGTGAATGTACGTTAGGAATGTTAAGTGCTGCGGGTGATAGCAGCGCGCCGAAATTTCAACGCTCTTGACCTTGAATACGGCAACCCTACGCTCAGCGTTCTACCAATATGTAAAAATAACAGACCGCTGCAAATGTGGTACATACTAAGGCTTTCTGAGAAATGAAGCTTGTGTTATTACGCCAAAAAGCACGATTTCCCCGAAGACTCTGTTCGAAACACCCCCCAACACGTACTGTCCACCAAAGTTCATCGAAATATACTCAATAAAGCACCCCATCTTTGTATCTTCAAGAAACAAATTCTGCTTGTGAGCTAAAGCTTTCGGGCGTAATTTCATTTTCTGCCGCTCCTGATGGAAGCTTAATCGATCGATGTAGCCAACAAGGAATGTTTGTACCGGTTCAATGAGGATTGCATATTTTGGCGAGAAAATCAGCCTGTAAAATTCATGCAATCATAACAGGCAATTCGGTATTAATTCCTGGTATCAAATGATATAATTAGTGGTTGGTTTCGAGCGTAGCTGCCCGGGCCTGTTAGAAGATGCGACAACAAGTGCCGTGTTGATAACCAAACCCGAAGGGTTTTCAAGGGGACCAATGCATTGCGTACAACAGCACAAAAGAAAACGTTCGTGTGGTAAAACATTAAATGTAGTGACTCCAACACCCGGCACCGACTTTGACGGTGTTTCATGATCTCGGCAGGGGCAATAGTTACTTCAGAGCATCACATACAATGCATTTATGCTTCGTTTAACCTATCTCCCATCTTCCAAAACTAACAAGCTCAAATCATACACGCTTGTTTTTGGAAAACAAGGAGCTTTCGGGCTTGGTTAGTAATATGGCCTGGAGGCAACTGCCGCCCTTGTCAAGATCATATAACACCATCACAACCGGTGGCGGGTTGTTGGTGTCACTATGCGTAATATTTTACCACGCGGACATTTTCTTTTGTGCTGTTGTGCGCAATGCATGGGTCCCCTTGGCGTTGCAATCAGTTATTTTTTATTGGGATAAGAGTTTGTGATGGCTCTCTAACATGGCTCAAACACGTAGGGTGGATTTCACAGTGGTACCTGTTTTGATAAGATAACTATAGCTCAACGTGTCACTACCGACAGTGTTCTGATCTGCTTTTGTTTGGCGAGGTTGATTAATGACTATTTTTCTTCTCTTTTGTTGGATTGTGCAGTCAAATATATATGCAGGTACATAGCCGCAGATTCAGACGAGTGAAAGCAATTTTAGCACAAAATTGTGGTTGAGGAATATTTCCGGCGCACACGGGGGAAGAACGTAGACATATAGCAATGACCAAGATCTTGCTTACACCTTCCACGACGTCCAGCAAGCTGCTCCAAAACCCGGGGCGGCAAACTTAAGCAAAGTCCTCCTGGCAGATTGCGTATCCCATTATTTGGTTCCACCTAATTCCAAACCTTTCTATAATGTGCAGATGATTTCATGCCACGTGCCATGCATGCGTTAGTTGCCCCTCCAGGATCCTACTAACTTTCTCAAGTCTCATCGTCACGATTCGGATGAGCCACAGGCTGCCGAAAAGGATACGGCGACCTCTGAAAAAAGAGTCCCAACTATTTTTTAAAAAAGCTGAATATAGGAGATACAGAGGATGAGCTGGCATTGTGTGAAGTACGGAACCACTGTAAATCGAAAACCCGTCGATAAAACATATGAAAACAAGCCAACATTCTAGACCACGCTAGGGAAAACAAGTATACCGTTCAAATATCTGTGACATCACCACAGAAACAAGTTATCTGCGTGTCTCTTGAGGGAAAGGAACGGCTTAATTCCCTCGTCACGATTCGGATGAGCCACAGGCTGACGAAAAGGATTCGGCGACCTCTGAAAAAAAGGTCCCAACTATTTTTTAAAAAAGCTGAATATAGGAGATACAGAGGATGAGCTGGCATTGTGTGAAGTACGGAACCACTGTAAATCGAAAACCCGTCGATAAAACATATGAAAACAAGCCAACATTCTAGACCACGCTAGGGAAAACAAGTATACCGTTCAAATATCTGTGACATCACCACAGAAACAAGTTATCTGCGTGTCTCTTGAGGGAAAGGAACGGAGAACCCACGAGTGACCCAAAAGTGGTATCTGAGGTTTACATAGAGCACTATGCGTGCCTATGCTCAGCCACAACCTCCTCGTCACATCCACTCTTATCAAGGCGTAAATACGAATAGCCTCTAACTGACTTGGTCTTTACGATGGAGGACCTTCGTCAACTCTTGCGCAGTATCAAACCATTCTGCGCGTTGGCGCCCAACGAGGCCAATCCAGGGATCTTGAAGGAAACGTCGCCTACACTGGCAAATCATTATACCTGGTGGTTCGTCAGTTGCTTGCCTTCCCTCTGCTAGAAAGGAGGCGACTGTCACGCCAATCTACAAAACTAGTAACCAATTGGCGCCTGGCAGCTACTGGCTTATAAGCCTCACTAGCGTGCCGTGCAAGGTGATGAAACACATTCTGAAGCGAGCTATCCTAGACCACCTTACTTCCAGCAACCTGATATCTCCAACTCAACACGGATTTCACCAAAGCCCTTCTTGCGTGACACATGGTCGTGTTTATCGACAGCATAACCCAAGCCAAGGACGAAGGACTCATGTCGGATCGCATATTTTTCGATTTCGATAGGGTCCCACGTACCGTTGCTCCAAAAACTCGAGTTTTATGAAATTCAAGGGATAATCCTTCGCAGGATCAAGGCATTCCTATCAGGCAGATGATTCCGAGCGAGAGTAGACTCGACCTACTCTTATCCAGCGCTAATCTCCATTGGAGTTCATCAAGGCTCCATTTCAGGACCACTGCTGTTTCTGATCTACGTCAACGACCTTCCAGATGTTCTCGCAAGTTCATGTCCACTTTTTGCCGACGACATGAAATTCTGGAGCTCCGATGACAGTACCCTCCAAATGGATGCATACGCTGCAAACCAATGGTCGTTGGACTGGCATCTTCCTCTGAATGACGAAAAGTGCGTCCATATGTCATTTGGAGAGGGCTCAGCGAATGCCTTTGTCAGATATGGCGAAAGGGGACCAGAAAACCTCATTGGGGTAGACACCAAAAAGGATTTGGGTATCTGGGTCTCCTCAAACTTGTCCTTCTCACTGCACTGTGAGAAATCAGCCCAAAAAGCATTCGCCATTTTACGGATGATTCGGCGCACCTTTCCCCGTATTACTCGAATGGACTTCCGGGTGATTTATGGAGCCTTCGTGGGACTGCTCTCGGAATACGCCAGCGAAATTGTCTACTCAGGACGTACGAAAGACCACACCCTCATTGAACGTGTCCAGCGAGCCGCTACGAAAATGGTTGCCAGCCTCAAGTCCGTGGACCGCGAAACACGACTAGTGATGCTTGATCTCCTTCCGCCGGAGTATCGTCGCCTCCGAGAGGATCTTATTCTTACTTATGCCCTGTTTGAAAAAAGCTTGGCCGACAGGTTTTTCACCGTTGACCCAGTAAGCACACGGCGGGACGTAGTAAGAAGACTATCAAGCTCAGAGCACACATGTTCATCAGGCAAATTTTCTTGTCATTTCGGGCAGTAGCTGCGTGGAATGACCCTCCTCCGACGGTTGTCCACTCTCCTTCTAGAACCCAGTTTATAGCACTGTTAGACATTTATTTATGCGAATCCTCGCGCTGGCAAGCATACTATCCCAAGCTGAGAACGCAAAAAACAGAGTTACAGGTCTTTTTCACTTGTGCCTTGCAGGTGAACAACAGCCGCTAAACGGGAATGGCAAATATGGCCCGGGAAACTTGGGCAATAGCCTAGATCCGGTGTATCAATCCGTGAATCTGTGAATCCCTGATTCTTCACGTAGGCAGTCCAGTCAGCAAACGTAAACAACACCCCACCTAACTAAGTATGTCGGCATTTAACTCAGCTCTAGTGTACCAGCCACCATACGAAACATTACTGGATTCTCTGTAAACTAAAAATCCCCCAAAACCCGGAACAGTCTTGTTTAAACCTATGTAACTAACATGCAGATACATGGCACGTATCTGAATTGTAGTGACAAAGATGATTGCTGTTCAGATAAGGGAGGGTGAATTCACATCAACTATATATGGCGCGATAAAGGAGCAGAAGTATAAAGAAGCGGTGGCAATACTTAACCAGCAATTGCTCACGCACCCAGGCAGCCGTGCAGCTTTATCCCTTTTGGGGTATTGCTTTTATCAAATGCAAGAATTCGTCAACGCGTCTGACTGCTATGAACAACTGACTCAGTTGTACCCTGAGGTAGAAGAATACAAGTTGCTGTTTGCTCAGTCGCTTTACAAGTCCGACTTGTTCCCGGCAGCGATGAAGGTTGGTGGATTAATTTTCCCTCGTTTTGTGACCTAGTGCATCCTTAAGGATATCTGGATGAGCGTTGAGTGTGCACTACACTAAGTTGTCCCCAACGACTGTTTTGCTTAAAATGCCCGTCACCTACTTGAATTATTGTGTCGAGTGAACTCGACTTCTGGCACGTATCTGAAGTCTGGTACCATACACAAAAATTTTAACCACTGGTCACCTAAATATATCCTCTAAAAATACATATGCTCAATTTATTTGTTTTGTTTTTGAATTGCTACATTCGCACTTGTGCTTAATTTAGCTATCGGTTTTTAGCAGAAGAGATCCGACAATGAATTCGGTCTTCCGTTTTGTTAAAGTGCGGATCTGAGTCTGAATCTAGATGTGTTCACACTGACCAAATATTTGAATGGGTTCAAAGGAGATCGTAAAGATCCGAAATACTTTTTCGTGCTATGAACTAGTAAGGAAGTTTTACCACCTGTGAGTAGCCAGATATATATTTTTAATATGTGACAGTCGCTGTTTTACTCTTTTACTGTGCTAGTCAGGTGTTATTAGGTCCTGCTCCATGGGCCTAGGTATCTGAGTGTAATACCGGCAACCGCCGCCGATTAATTCTTGAAAAGTTGCTCAAGGTGTCTACTGATGACATTTTAACTCACATACTTTGATCTACGGCAATATTCCAAAATAAATGATGGATTTACGGCCGCAAAGTCATTTTTGTCGAGTCTGGTATCATGCTGTCTGCAATGATGTCCTTAATCGAAGCTCAAGTTTGCCTACAGTGGCACACAAAACAACTCATCAATCTTTCACCAGAAATATATTGTTTTGTGTCCAATTGGTATTTACCTCAGATACTTGACGGGTGAAGGAAACTCACACGCTGTATTTGTGTACGTATTGTAGTACGCATCCAAATCGTGCATCGAATGAGGCGGTTGGACTTTAGTGCTGTTGTGCTGGTCCATTCTAACATTTAATCCAGCAAGTCGAATTTTTTGATTCAAGCACGCTCTATTTCGTATACCTGCGGACGAAATTGGGGTAGTTTCTGATCTTGAATTGCATCGCCATCTACATTCACGTCAGTGCGGTCGGCTGAATCCCTGAAAACAAATGCTTGGGTTTGTCGTTTAATTTCTTAGACAGCAGGCAGTCGACGGCTTGTGCCAGTAGGACTGGCAGTGGATCACTTCGTGCAACAGGCTTGCAACTGAGAGCCGGGTTTGATTAGGTGCGATTCGGGAAGCTGGCATACCTGCACGCAAGTTTCAACTGGATTAAGTGAAAAAATCTCGATCACTTTATGCGTGATTGAGCAGGTGAAAAGTGCAATGATTTTACGCAGGAGACTGCATAAATAAATCAGAGTCCAGCGTGTTTCAAAGCGTTTCCATTAGTTCTAAAATGCTTGATACACAAAATGTGGCTGGTAAACATTGTTGGTGGGCCTTATTCTGGCTCAGTAATTGAGTTTTGGTCCTCAGTGACCTAGAAAGTATCCAAAATCCGTGTTACGGTAAGAATGCTTCTTTATTTTCCACAAAACAAACCATTATTTTTCTTTTCGCTCTTTAAATACAGATGGCTGTTCAGATTGAGGATCCAAAGTATCGAGAAAAAGTGGTCAAGCTTCAGGCGGCAATTCGGTATGGTGAGGGTGATTTAGCTGGGGCACGCAGTTTGGTCGAACAAAGTCTTACTGATGACCCTGAATCAATAGTAAACCTAGGTTGTCTGTTTTACCGCGAAGGAAACTATGAGCAAGCCTGTCAGCACTTTCAACAAGCCATACAAGTAGGTTCAAATTGGCAAGTGAGATTTGCTACATATGTTTTTGCATCCAGTAATTATGAATAGGAATTTTATAGACTTTCATCCGAACAATTTGGCTCAACGCCCCAATAAGAAACACAAAGATATGTATGCAGCTTATAATGGAAGCTCATTTCACCTGTCTTCTTATAACTTATCGGGATTTTCCTGAGTGTGAGATTCATTGACAAGATTTTATAGCCCTTAAAGTAAGCACACTTAATTCCAAAAACAAGAATTGTTCCCTGCAGAAACCATTCTTACGGCAAGTAACTTCTGCAACAACTTCAAGTAGATCCCTTACGTGCTCTAAATAAGTAAGTAAGTAACATATAGCTCCATAATCATCTGCTGACTAACTCCTGAATAAAAAACCGCAGTGGAAAACTATGATGTTACTGAGCCAGGTTTGTTATTCCGATCTTTGATACTGATGATGAAGTCTCGTAAGGTCATCAAACCATTCAAGACCAGACAGAAAATAGCTAGATTTTCAACTTAACACGGGTAGGCGCACGGTAAAGTCGTAAGCGAATAGTCATTCAGGTGCAGTGCTCTTTCAGTGCTGAACCATTTTGCAGCATGAAGGAAGCTTTATGGGCTCAATAATTTCATGCGTCTCAAGCCAAAACAAGAACAACAAAAAACCAAGGTGAGGTCGAAAACAACGGGCTTGCATTCACCAGTGTGCAAAATTACATCAGCTGCGAAAATCATCCTTTTTCTTGGATGTACCTTACGTCTCACATTTTGTGGAGTTAAAGTCTGACAGTAGCGCCACTTTTTTGCTGTCATAATCAGCGCAAACTAGAGGTGGAACAAAATGCTACCGCCGTGATAACTGATTGACAAAAAAACAAAAAATTTCAATCGGTTGAATTTTGCATTCAGTAGGCGATAGCTGTGCTGATTTCTTATCATGTCATTGTGGGATTTAGGCTAGGAATGAACTTCACATGAGAATATGTCATTTGTCTTAATAATGTCATGTGTTGTCCCGCGTCCCATCTATTCCTTATTTATATGGTAGTCCACCAGGATTTTAGTGAAACCAGTGTAGTAACCTGTCAAGCCAGATCCAAATTAGTGGCATCAATAGAGAGTGTTTTTCCAGGTGGCATATTCTTCCATCTGCTGATTAAAACCAAACTTTCATATTGATTATTTTTACACAGCTATATGTGACGCATTTCGCCACGGTGATATGTTCTGTCGTTCACACTGTTCGTAGTCGACGCCCATAAAACAGCATTCCGAAACGGCCTAACCATTAATTTAGGTGCATTGTTTGAAACTTTCCGTGTATAAAGCTGAGCGGTCCATTTTGTTTGCAATGTGGATTATTCGGTGCCTTTTATATACTTTTTTCATTGACTGAAGAACGTTGGGATCCAGTAGTGATAATATTTTGTGGGTGTTTTTTCCAAATATATTTATATCCCCTTTTACCACTTTTGGGCAATATGCAGGTGTTGACCAGGAAGAAAAAGCAACACTCAGCTAACAGGGCAGCTTTTCTGTGAGGTAGTGCACAAAAACTACAGTTATGCAGTGTGGCTTAATAGGTGTTTGATAAATGCTACTAGATCCTTCTGAGTGGTCCTGTATGTTTTGGATATTACCCTATATTTTCTACAGGTGCATCATGATTTTCCACTCATTTTAGTTAGACTTTTTAAAGCAGCCTTTGTTTTGAGTACAATCCTCGATCAACATCACTATATATATCGAATTTGCAGATAGAAGATCGCTTGCATTCAGTAGAAATTTTGTCTTTAGCTACAAGGTATAACTAAAATGACTAAATCTGGCTCAAAAGCGCATGATCTATTTCATATCAGCGTTTCTCTCTCGAGGAAGCCCACTTTGTTGAGCAGCAGTTTTGATTGCTCGAGTGATCGAAAGGAGATTAATATGAAAAGTTTGCAGACAGAAAGACTGTCTTCATATCCATAGGAAAGCTGTTCAGAGTTTACTTTTTATTTTTCGGAGAGAAACTTGTTTTTTTTTCGGGAATTGTAAACTTTGCAGTGGCGTCTGAATTTTCTGAAATATTCACCATCAGTGATATAAGCACCCTCACCTATATAGTGAGTTTTAGGGTAGTCACACAAATCGCACCCAAGGCCAAACTGTCGTTTTCAAAATAGCTGAACCTTGGGATGATCGCACTGTGCCGACGGGATTGGACCCGACCATCGCTGGGATGTTACGTTTAAGAACATAGCTTTTATATTACTTCATTGGAAAAAGTAGTGTGGTTTTAATGTACCTAATGGTTACTGCCGGGCAAGGTTTTTCATGTGCGTATGGAATAGGCGTATTGTCTTTCCCATAGACAGTCCTTGATCAAGATACAGTTTTGGCAGCTGCTTTTGGCGGTTTTTGAAATTATTCCAACGTAACTGGCCGTAGATGGGAGGAAACCTAAAGTACCTACGAATTTCGCCGGCTACATGTTACTGTATTCTGTGAAGGGGCTTTCGCATCCAGCCAACAGGAGCAGCAGCAAGTGCGCTGTGCAATATAAATGGCTAACTCCAAGAAAAATTTCATTTATAGATGCTCTACTGGTTACCGTGTTTATCGGAATCCCTAATAAACCAAAGCTACCACTTGCAGTCATGTTCTTTCATAATTTTTTTCATTTTACCCCATATAGACGCTCGGGTTTCAGCCTACACTGGCCTACAATATTGCTCTCTGCTATTATCAGTTGAAACAGTACGCTCAAGCTTTGAAGCATATCGCTGATGTTATTGAGCGTGGTATAAGAGATCACCCTGAACTTGGGGTTGGCATGACAACTGAAGGACTGGAAGTAAGGAGCGTGGGAAATACCCTAACGTTGCGAGAAACGGCGCTTGTGGAAACGTTCAACTTAAAAGTGAGACGTCTTTGTTTACTTATTTACTACGGGTATCCTAACGTAGTACGAGAGTCCATTGTATACTTTTTAACAGAACATACCAACTTGCCTAGTGAGTATATGAACCACGTGCACATAGTTGGATATTCAAGTAGAAAATAAGAATGATGGGGACTCGAGTACTACATTTACTTAATGAGACCCAAGAAAGACGAAACCGGTATAGAAATTGTCGATCAGTTTTTAACAACCTTTCTGACTAGAGCATTCCATCAAGAAACTGTGATGTCTTGAGTAGTGTAGCAAACAAAACATGAGACAGCCTTTGTGCAACGCATTCAGTTCAATGACATCAAAAGAATGTCCACCAAGGATCCCGCTGAGACTTTCATTGAGACCAAATTAATTACCAACTGAGTGTCTGGACTTGTTTCTAGTGCAGAAGTAAAAATAATGCCGAGACTTTTGACCGTGTATAATGATAGAAATAAACTACAACTTTACAGCTTGTAGCTTAGTTCCAAATCTTCGAAACTGGAGGGAACAGAATGCTAAAATTCTTGTATCATCACAAGTTTAAATTTGCTCCATATACATTCATTCACCTTGCAAACATGTATTTTGATCTGGGGATAATTCAAAATCAACGATTAGTTATTCAAGAAACCTTATCAATTCAGTCAACTGTGAGCAGAAGTTGTGGAGTGACGAAAACGAAAAACTTGAACACAAAGATTTAAGAAGAATGGGAAAACTGTTTTCAGACTGCATATTAGGTGTTTCCCTAAAACCTAAAGTGAGACTGATTCCAAGCAACCATATAGCCAGTTTATTTTTCTCTCAAAACGTAACGGCTCATTTTGACGGCGAGAACGTGATCAGCGTCCACGTTGTAGCAGTGAAAGTTCAAATTAGTGTTTTTCGCATAGAAAAAGTGCGCTATAGTTGCGGATAGGAACACTTTGGAACATGAGTCTCACTAGCATAGACAAATTTTGAGAAATTTAACAAAAAGTCGGAAAATTTCCTTACGCATTCACAGGGTGCGTACATACGATCTGTGGCCTGGTTGACCTTAAAACGCAGTTTGGGGATTCTGTTCCCCATATAAATTAGAGTATAAGCGGTCGGTGAGTGATGAAAATAGGTATCGACTGAGTTTATGGACATGGTGGTACCCTATGCCTAACTTGAAGATAACTGAAACCCGAAAAATTTGTGTGGGATTAGATCCGAACGTCGTGAGATCAACGTTGGTTGGTAAGTCTATCATTTAGGAAGACGTACAAAGCATGTCTAGATACTGGTCACTCTGGCGAGTTTATTTATTTTATTTCTACTGGTTGGCAGCCCCCCCCCCCGGATAAACAGCCGATCTTATTCACAACTGTATGGATGGACAATGAAATATTTGTCGCACGTGATCATTATCACAGCGAAACCACGGATGGCTGTATCATTCCACTACCCTGTGGACATCCTTTTTTACAAAATCTTACTAGAGACAAAATAAATAACCGTACAGCGGGAAGGAATTACTAATCTGTTCATGTCACCCAACTGTAATTTCACGGAAATCCTTGTCCAGATTAGGTCGAAGGTGCGTTTACATCGCTCTCGTTTGAACCTCTACCTAGCTGAAACGACCTTGGTGATTCTACACCAAACATGGGAAGCACCGTATTCCATTTGTGCTCTTATCCATGCGCCAGTTCAGTGCATGTCCTTAGCCGTGGTGGGAATTGAACCCCGAAAATCTGACGTTTTACGCTGCTCCACAAGCCCATTCTTCCTGTATTAAGTTGATTCAGAGCAGGAGCCCACCTGTCAAACCATGGGTGTCGTAGCAGCTACTAACCAGTGTTATGAGATAATATTTGGATACCTTTATGCGGCTAACCTTTTGTTATTTTGTGACTATAAGCGAAGGTTTTTTGATGCTGTCGTGATGTTCCTTGAAGGGCCCCTCATGAAAACCGTGTTCCAGTGCGTGTTATGCGTATTTTTTGGGTGGGCTATGCTTGGTAGGACAGGCTTCTTAAAGTCAATAAATTGATCGAGTTCAGGAGTGGGCAGTCCTGTTTGTGGTCACCCGTCTAAAGTATATCGCTTAATTCAACCGTGTTTTCTAAGACTAACGATCATCCAATGTGTTGAGTTCGAGTTCCCGTGTGAAAATCCACTACCTAAACTTTAGCTACGCAAAATTCCTATAAACTTAAAAAATGAGATTAGCAAATTAATCGCATGTATTTATTGTTTGAAATTCTCAAGGCTGCGATAGAATACAACCTGAAGAACCCTACTGCCGCATCTGAGGCACTTACTGATATGCCTCCAAGGACGGAAGAAGAGTTAGATCACATAACACTGCACAATCAAGCACTGATGAACATGGACAATGAACCCGCTGCTGGGTTTCAGAAGTTACAATTCCTACTCCAACAAGAAACGTTTCCAGCCGAGACGTTCGCCAACCTTTTACTTCTGTACATAAAGTATGAATATTTTGACCTTGCAGCCGACGTGCTGGCGGAGAATGCCCCTTTGGCATATGAATATTTGTCTCCGGAGTTGTATGACTTTATCGAAGCAGTGATCCTTCGACAATCAGCTCCACAGGATGCTTACAAGTGAGTTAAAAACGAGATAAAGGAAACAGCATTCGAATATTCCCCGATTCCACCTGTCAACTTATTTAGGCGGTCATCATGTCCAGTGATTTAACACATCTTTCGGTATTAGTCGTGGTAGACTTTACCCGCAAAAGTTTTCCCAGGCTCAGTTACATCTTGAGGCAAAACTTATCTTAGGGCATAAGCTGCTACAAGACTTTGAAGCCAAAAATAAGTGCGGCGTCAGTACAACCACACATCAACAGAAGACATACGCAATAAAGTCAATTGTTAGACTTACAGGAAGGCATTTTGCTCACTCCGAGAGGCAGATTCGTTTAAAACTCATTACTGAATCACATCCAGTAGAATAGCTCCTACAATGAAGGACGTTCTCCCTAACAAGTGAATGCAGCAAGCTAAATATCACCGCGATCAGGTGCACATAATCATTTCTCCCAAAACGGGCAAGTCTGATACAGTATGCATTAGCTACTTTAGTCCTTTCCGGAGCTTCGTGACTTGCGTTTAAATGACTGGAAGCAATATAAAGGCACGTCATTGCAAGTAATCTCCTCAAGCTGCCGAAATTTTGTCCCCGGTTGTCTCAGTGTAGGCTTGTTTTCAAAAGCAGACTACTGTGAGGTGCTGATCAACTGAGTAACCTTGATTTTTCCAGTTGCTGCTGTTGTAACGTCGCCTAGTAAACTTCAACGCCTCGCTATCATGCGCATCAAACCCCTCCCCCACGATACGTCAAAAAGTTTCTTCTAGGGCAGATCATCTTTTTGTTTGATGCATTAGATTTCATATACCAGAAAGTATATCTTGACAAGTTTACACATCTAATGTGGGAGAGATGGCTCAGTGTGCGAATTTACTGACCGGTGGGTCCATGGTTCGAACCCGACCTCTGTTTGTCGACCTCCCCTGTCTAGGTTTGGGCAACCTGGCAGTATCCCGGCCATTGTGTTCCCTTTGAGTGGGATGGTAGCCAGCTATAGAAAGGCTGTAACAGCTGAACTATGCTCTACACACTTAATAGGCTGAGAAACAACCCTAAATTTCGTCGTGTACCATCTCGGTCACCGTTTCCCGCAAGCTCTCTGGTTTCCGAAGAATTGCCCACAACAGAGAGACTATATTCTGCAACGCAAGAAATGAAACAGCCATAACATCTGGAACAAGGGAGATAAACTGAAGTTTATATCGTCTTAATCCCTCTGGGGTTTGGAACCGCAGAACCCTACGGAGGCAAATGGGTTAGAAACGAGGTAGAAATGGGTATACCAACCTGTATTTGCATTACATCTAAAGTAGTGAGTTTAAATGGACGATGATAAAATAAAGTACAAACCGCTTGTTTTATGGAATGTTCTTCCATTGATACGAGTAGGAACGCTGCATCCTCTGGCACGACAACTAACAAAGTGGAGGACTTTTATACCGTCTGAAGCGTTGACCCCTAGGGTTCAACTGCTGTTTTGCTATTATTCTACGGTTTGCACTGGGTAAGAAGCCTATTGTAGATACAGTTGTCACTTGTCCGTCATGGAGAGTTACTTCACTTAGCTTGCTTGATGACAACTAACTACACCTGGCTGTCTGCATTTTACAATTACTAGGGTCCAAAGGCTGAACTCAGGCTTGCAAACTATTATGGGTAGTTTTCAGCACTTATGTTTACTGAAATGATAGATGGACGCAAAGTTATTTCCAACTTTTACGGTGCTATGTGTATTTAAATAGATACAAGAAATCACGTCGGACACGTCAGCACGATTATTTAACAATTTGCTTTGTAACAAGATGTTGCGGCAATCAAATGACCGTAGCCTCTAAAAAAAAATCCCGCGAAATGACCTAGTAACTTGGCATGGAAGGACATGTTATCACTGCGTTTACTGAGGACGACTAATCACATTCGGGATGACACGAAAGCAACGAGTCTGTATGGCAGGGTATATAACACACTATAGTCACGTTCGGATAACTCCTGTTCAAGTGAGACCTGGGCGCCTTGAAATTGGTTTCTGTGATCCGTTCGTTTAAGGGTATCGTTATGTCTTTTCACACTTTTAGATGTAACCATTGAAAGTCCTCGAAGCTTTTCTTCTTAGCCATCAAGTTTCCTTTTCTCGTTAGTCCTGCTATCTTCGTCTTTTGCATGCAAAGACGTTCTGGTGTCCTGCTAAAACTACTGAAACAAATTGGTGAGCATCTCAGATAGAATTCTTAAACTGATATATCCTCGGATATATGTCTAACGCTTCGGCTTCCGAGCTGTAGTTTTGGCGTTCCCTTCTAGGGATCTTGATTTAACATCGAACCAGCCTGAGAATTTTTTTCATGAGGGCACTAAGATCTACGCTCGTCGGTGTAAACAATATTTAATGGAAAGATAAACAGGTCAGGCAAAGACATTTCCTGCGAGCAGATTTACCAACGGACGAACATCAGTAGTAGCGAAAGTTTTTGTCTGAGTGTGCCTCTGACACATGGGCTGAGCCTCTTTATTAACTAGTGCCTGTCGAAACCTGATCAGGAGTATTTGACGCGATTGCAAAATTCACTTTGGGGTGCATGGTAGCTAGGCACCACAAGGGTGTTACAGCTGGACGATTGCAAAATTCACCTACGTTATCCACTGACTGAGCTGACGCGGTTGCCAACATGTGACCATAGTCATCCTCATCTTTAAGCTATATAGTTCCAAAATTATCAACTTATTTCGACTCCACTGACCTCAGTTCGTGTATACTCCTGGTCTCTATGAGACAAGGATCAAGTTGTATAATTATACTCCAGGCAAGAAACAATGTCTTTTGAATACAAAAAGCCACACAGGTAGGTACAATTTAGACAAAATGGTCGTGGATTTTTATACCAGAAGTTTGAATTTCTTAGCTGGTTCACTCGATAGTCGCTTGGAATTCGTATGAGTTCATTGAAACTTATCGATCATTTAGTTGATTTTTTGGTGCAACGTAACGATGTCCTACGCTCCACTGTGTTCACGACCACATACAGCCGATTGGACCAAATGGCCGCCAAGCACACAGAACAGTTGCGTCGTCTGACAAAGGCTGTTCAAGAAGCACGCCAGGCTCAAGATGACGAAGCCGTGAAGAAAGCAGTCTGTGACTATGACTCTGCCTTGGAAAGATATATACCGGTCCTTATGCAACAGGCAAAAATCTATTGGGATATGGAAAATTATCAACAGGTATGTGGGGCTGTACACTACCGTTTGCTCGTGAATGATTCAAATTTCAGAATAAAACTACATCGTCGATAGAAAATGAACAACATATTCAAGTCTCTTCTCTAACCCTCCGTTAACTCCTTCATTGCTCAATTTGACGTGAAGTTGACTGATATTTAATCGGAGTTTACTCGGGAATGGTTCTCAATACACAAGAGAAACTGTAGAACTTAGTAAATAAATGTTGACTAGCGGGTTTCGGAAACCATACTCTGTCACTGAGGGGCTGGTAACATCCCCTACAAACAAACATTCTGACCTCGGTGTCTTATTGGTCGCACATACTCAGTGCATAGTTATACACTTCTTTAAATATAGAAGAACAGTGTGCACCCAGAGCGTCGGACAATTCGGCGTTGAAAAGTCCTGAGTACGCGGCTTTTAGATGTCATTTTGGCAAAAGTTACCGAACAGGAACCAAATAAAGGGTAATAAAGAGTTATCGAAATTTTCTCCAAAGAAACCAGACGCAAACTATTGCACGAACAATTTTTAAGCGCCCTGTAACACCACGGTTCACGGAATCATGTATTCAAGTAGTATCCTTGACTTCAACCCAGTTACTCAGTCAAACGTTCCAAATGCACATTAGTCCTCACCTTGATGATCCATTGTAAATCAACAAATCCAATGGTAAACAAGCCTCTCCTCTCCTCACTTATCTATTCGAGGTGGAGAAGATATTTAGAAAATCCGTGGAATTTTGCAACGATCATCGTGTTTGGAAGTTGAACGTTGCACACGTACTGTTTATGCAAGAAAACAAATACAAAGAAGCTAGTGGATTCTATGAGCCGATTGTGAAGAAACATTTTGATAACATACTCGGCGTGAGTGCAGTGATTTTGGCCAATTTGTGCGTGACGTATATCATGACCAGTCAGAATGAGGATGCGGAGGAACTGATGCGAAAGATCGAGAAGGAAGAGGAGGCTATCACGTACGAGGATCCGGAGAGAAAAGTCTTCCATTTGTGCATTGTCAATTTGGTGATTGGGACACTTTATTGCGCCAAAGGCAACTACGAATTTGGAATAAGTCGAGTGATCAAGAGTCTTGAACCATATCAGAAGAAGTTGGGATCGGACACATGGTAAGTTCCATGAAAATCACTGCATTTATTTGCTTTCAAATTAAGGGATTTTGAGGACTCAGCTGAATGTTTAAACACAAATTTGCTGGAAATTACAATGAATAGATTCTAACCAAGGGTAACCGCAGTTGAGATAACCGGATACTATTTGATCAGAACAACGGACATACCGGTGGTGCGCGGCCTTGTGGGACAAAGGTCCAAGCACTGCATTCCCCAAATCATTGTTCCTATCAAAACTGAACAATCCTGTGGATTCTTGGGGTGAGGGCATATGACGGATGATACCGGTATATCTTCGCACAATAAAGATACAGTAGATAACTGCTACTCGGACTGTCAACTTCATCTGAAGTGATGTGCTGTCAGTGATGGTGATGATCTTTTCGTGAACACAATCATAGTGAAGAGAATCATATACCAGATGCAGTCTCACCAGTCTGGTATGCAAATGCGTCATTTTGTTGGTATGCTGATGATCCTGATCACTCTCTCAATGATGAACCTACTGTTACGAAACAAATCATCCATAATGCTAGTAGTAATAATGAGCATCCACCAAGTGACCATACACAGTACTAGGAATTTCATCACTGATTGATAGGGAAATAGGGGAGAACAGAACATCATCATCATCATCATCATCATTGTCAGCTGTAATAACCACGTACTCGTCGTACAGTGGTTGTAGCTGCCGCCGTTTCGTTCACCGATATTTTTTTGGGGAGGGGGGTAGGTAGAGTGGGCTGTCAAGTGGGGGGGTATCATCATCACATCATCATTGTCAGCTGTAATAACCACGTACTCGTCGTACAGTGGTTGTAGCTGCCGCCGTTTCGTTCACCGATATTTTTTTTTTGATGGTTTAAACCCCTTCGACGACTCCTATAGTTGCCGAGCCGCACTACACCAGTGAACATATAGCGTGAAAGCATCGTGCTAGACTATGTGCATTTAAACTAAAGTCGTTTGGATACACTAAAGTAAATCTCCTCAGAAACTCCACTTTCTGTGTTATTTCGGTCTTTCGGCCTGGTCGAGCTTCTCATCATGCCAGCGACAAGTCGGACCAATATGTTTTAGGGTAGAGTGCAGGCATCTCTACTTTCTGGCGTGATTTCTCTATTCTGGATTCTCTGATCAACTGCAAAACTTCGGCTTGGGTATATAAAACCAGTAGCCGGCTGATATTATGGGCCAACATACATCGACGTTCTTTATAGACGATCCTCACAATCACTGGGAACACGTGACCTGGAGTCGTTGGCAAAGTCATCCGCTCATTTGAACCCTATGGTTGCAATAATGTTTCTAAACTGTCCACCCTGTTCGTGTCTAGACAGACACTTACCAGTTAGCACATGAGTCGATTTGTGATCAAAAGCCCTATTCGAATGGGAGTTTTGTTCATTGGCTAGTTGAGATTCTTGTTTAACCCTCCACGTAAGTGTTCCCTTGGTATTATACCATGTATTGGGAGCTTGGCAAGGGGTAGAGTCTACAGCGAAACTGCCACAATGTCGGAAAACCGTATTCTTTATGATCGTCAATTTTGGAAACCTGATAGCATCACAGAGCCCGGATATTACAGTCCCGTGCGGCCGATTTTGGTTACCAACCAATGGCGTTAAGCATTGTTAGGAAAAAGCAAAGCAAATGTTGCGCTCACGTTGAATTATATAATTAAAGGAGACTCTATCGACCCAAAATTCCCTACAAATGAAAAACGTCAAATCTTTTATCAGGAAACACCTATTTTCCGGGAAAATTTCCAGGAACCTTTGAAAATTCTTCCTCTCTGTAGATCTATTTCTCAGCCAGTCCTGGAAGGCCGGCAAATACATGAATCTCTGATCATAAAGTCTAAATTGGAAACAGTGCCAAATACAGCGTTTTGCTGGTGATCGATCAACCACATAAAATCAACCCTGACAACTGGATAAAACCAGTGACCTAGCGTGATGCATGCTTCCCGTTTGGTTAACCGCCGCACTCGTGTGAGAAAATGGCCCTGACAGCCAAACTTCAAGTTTTGAACTTAATTACTGATCTGAGTTGAAACCAAAACGGTCTGTTGACAAGGTGGTATCATGCTTCTACATTTTATCCCTGTCTTCGTGTGATAATATCCAGCTGTTTTGTACGAGGGTGGTACAAATTGAAGTTTTTCAATACCGAGCCTCCTCGGTACGCCTTATATCAGGGTGTGGTCTGAAGTTATAAAAATAAATGTGGAAATAATATACTGCCACAAGTATTTGATGTACACCAAAACTTCAGATCGCCAAAACCATCGCGTACATTCACTAGCTTAAATCATTGCCTGTGGTAAGTATGCGGTTAGTAAATACCCGATTGTAGAATGTGGCGCGCGACAAGCGCAAGTTTTCACTAAAAAAAGAAAAAATAACAGATTTAGCTAAATCAGTTCGTTAGAAATACCCAAGAGCGCTTGTCGCGAAACGACTCATTTACGTTTGTCAATGTGCAATGGACATGCTAATCATGAGCAACCGGATGACTAGATTGATCGAAACGATGGTCTGTGATTGGGTGTTTTCAGATTTGGGACAACTACAATAACTCCATTTTACATATGTAGCTTGTTTCGCTGCGTTCTTACGTCACCCGCAGTAAACCTGATAGACCCGGATCTCGATTGCATGAATGACATTGTGATAAACGGTTACACAGTGTAGGCCGGATGGCCGGTATCAGATACGTGCTTTGCAACCGATGAGCTGCATTTCAATTATGGTATTATGGTATTATTCACCGCAATTCAGGTCATTTTATGCCTGAATTGGAAGAAGTTCCGAAATCATTTGCGTAAAACCTCTGGGATAGATAAACTAGTTGACCGTCTTCATGGCTTCCTTATGTTATCACACACTCAGGAGCTGAAAACTCTAGTCTTCTATGAAGCGACGTCGTGCAGAACACAGAAACCAGATATTCCTTCACAAAATTCTTCCGGGATTAAAACTGACCAAAGCTGACCGCACATTTGAGAACTATCATTTTGGAGAATTGAATTCGAGTAAAATATACTCATAAAATACTTTAAATACCTCCGAACAACACGACCTCAGAGAATCTGCCACCGACAGCAACTCGATATGTGGCAGTTTAAACAGGGGTGAAGTGGAATCAGGTTCATGGTTTTTCTACACCAGACAAAAGAAGGGGATCTTGATTTAGATGGATCATTCAACTTTTGAGTTTTTGGCATATACACAGGTGATTATTAATATGCAGGAGATTAAAGGCTAACTCATTTTCTATTCTCACACGCGTACAGTAACTTAGCTGTGCAGTGTAACCTGCAGTTTTGGTCTGGTAGTAGGGAAATTTCAGAAGATTGGGACAATCACAAATGTCGCTGATCACTTCTTTACATAAGTTTCTTTGAAGTAAGCTTGCTTCTTCCGACATCGCACTTTTTATCTTTTTTGTTGAAAAAAATTTGTGTGCAGTCTTGAGATAAACAAATAGTTTAATGTCTTTTTAGCCCTTCCAAAATGTTATTTCTTTTATTTACTGCAGTGTTTGTTCTGTTGTGTTGAGTCTTAAGCCTACTGACCCAACATATTGCCAGTGATCTTGAATTACAACTTAGAAGTCTCTTCTTAAACAAACAGGCAGCATTAGCTTGTCTAAGTAAAAGCTAAACACACTGATTATCAGCCGCTTACTGCCACGTGGCTAAGTACTAAACCACTGGCCGGAGGGTTGAGGGTTCAAAACTTTCTGAGCTTTGTGAGAAGCCTAGTGCTGGTGACAAGGATCAAACCGATGTACGGTGTTCCTCGCCTCTCAAGCGTAGATTAGATTCACTGATAGGACAAAATGTTCGTTGAATATTAGTCCATGCCTACTATTGTGTATATCAGTAACAGTGAATCAGTATTCACTTTTACGCTATGGAATGCTGTTGTACACACTCATCACATCCTTTTGTTCTGGTGATTTTGCTGAAAGAAGAATTCTGACACATTTTCGCTCATTTATTTACCCTATTATGAAGAACATCTAACACCACACAGATATCCAAGCCTTTACTTGTGAGTTTATATATATATATATATATATATAT